GCATCTTTCCTTTCTGGGAGAAATTTCTGCGAAATATCGATACCCCGTCCCAGTCCAACATCAATTACATATTCACAATCAATCTATGCAAAAGACAGGGCAACACATACACACCACGAGGTTTACATGCACACTGTAGTAACACACCGGATCATTTCCAATTCAAGTTAACAGTGATGCGGAAGGACTCGGAATTAGGTCACAACAACCACTCATCGGCAAGCTGTCGTTGGCTTTCCTTTCCAAAGATTTCTCGAGAAGCACATCAAAGTGGTAAGTCTGACACCTCTGTATTACAAATAAGTATGATAGTAGCCACAGAGATATTGGCGCACATAATAGCAAGAGCACTGGCTATCAGTGTTGTTATCCGCATATTACTGATGTTACTGGGATGCTTCCACACACCAAGTGCAGTTAAGTGAGGTTGTTCTACAGTAATCGCAATATATTCGGGAAATCGGAACAAGGGGATTAGAGGGCAGTGATAGGCGGATCCAGGGGCGAACGGGGGGCGGGGGGGGGGGGGGGGGGGGGGGCGAAAGGCCTTTCGGCATCCCCTTCTCCTCCAGCGGTAAGCAGAGGCTCACTGGACGAAGCACTTTGACATCCCTTAGAATAACTAATGAATAACGCGCATCAATGAATGTACTTGCAAGGCGAGTGCATGTAAAAGGGGAAGACGATGGAATTGGAAAGTTGGTTTAGAGTGAAGAAATCTGGGTGAAGGCAACAAGCTTCAAGATGGTAATGCTCATTCTGTGTAGGTAAAACTTCGAATACCGAGGCAGTCGGTAGTTCGGAAATTTTCTGTCGACACATGGGAGCGAGTACCAGGGATATTTTGTTCAATGGGATACTGTACTGAAGATACGAAATAAATCATTGGCAGTGCGCACTGGACGGGCCAGTGCGAATATACTCGGTTTTGTATTATTTCATGCTGTAGTGAGTTTGCTTGGGGGTTTCAGTAGCTGGAATTTGTGGTTTACTAGTTCTCGAAGTTGAGGTAGTTCATTGTACACCTTTGTGGTGGGTCAGTTGTCGATGTCGGCTTCAGTGACTTGGCAAACCGAAAGTTGCTGGTACGCGAAACAGACCCCAGGAGGAGCAGCAATCACTTGTAAGCACTGCGCCGGTTGCAGTAAAAACGAATATTCCTAGTTCTTTGCAGTCATTGATAAAGGAAATCTGCATAATCCTGGGAAGCGTTGCCCATATGCATGGCGAGATGTGAAGTGCAGAAGCCCGAAATGAAATCTGTCCAGTTGGCTGAATTTGGTAACTGGAAACTGTCCAACTTATGTGCGAGGAAATAGCATGAACGAGGATTGATTCTACAGTTTTGAAACCACACTGAGAATACAACTTTGAGATCATCATGTAAAAATACAGTAGCCCAGAAAATGTTCAGGAGGAAAAGATTGCTTACAGCAGCTAACATTTTATGTATCCCCAAGCATGAGTTGCAGATGCTAGTTTTATGCATAGGAGTCGCACATGAACAAAGAATGCCTACCTACATGACATTAGCCTGAATTGCGAGTTAAATGATGCAAACAGTGCTTCTGTTGCAAATACCGTCTGTTCATACGCAAGATCTGGACTTGTGTGTAAGAAAAATTTCAGATGTTCTTCTAC